GTTAGCTCCTGATAACTAGTCTCCTAATTAAAAGAAAACCTTCTGCGACTAAACATCACTCTTTTCCCTTTCCAACACTAACCCAAAGATGAAACATCATCTCTCTCCTTTTTCTGACCACACGCAGTAAATAATCCCCCATTCCATTCTTCTCCAGCCTCCAGACCAAACCTCACATACAGACCAAACTCCTCTGCCCCTCCCCTCCCTCCTCCCAAACCACCAACCCTATTCTAGCACATTACCCTCTATCAAAATTCAGCCAATCAGTCCCTAAAAATGTAAAATCTGTCTAGCAACAAAAAAAATCCTTCTTTCACCATCTCCTTTCTTCATCATCTTTTTATACCATCTCCTTATAATACTCCCATCTTACCAGTCCAGAAGCCATATAATATTATTTACTATATCTCTCCACTTTGACTCTCATCATTTATCTGCCTTTAAGAAAACGAACCCCTAAACACAGAAAAATAGTCAATAAAAAAAGAAACTTAGCTAAATTGTTCTAACAAACTCAGTTTAAAAAAAAATTACTCTATTGCTGATTAACCCATTGTATATTAGAGCAGTTCCTCAACAAATATTCAAATTGTCAGCATATGATACCTATTCTTCCTATTCATACAGAAGTAAGTTATCTTTAAAACCAAACTCCAGAGTAATACAATCCTAATGAGCTGCTTCAATCTTTCTTTCTCCCTTTTCATTACTAAGTGAATCTCAGAATTTAATCCTAAGAATGGCCCCTCGCACCCCTGCCCTGTACTGTAGATCAGTTGCTCTCCTGTACCACTGATCTCTGGCTACAGAAGTCCTTCTAAGACTTTACCCCTGACCAAATATCTTTCTATACTTTCTGCTTATTCTTCCTTCTCTAAATAAATATGAGATCTCTGCTCTTCATCATCTTTTCCATAATGATCACTAAAAATTCTCTCTGAACCTATCGTTTCTATCACTAATACTCACTGCTTTTCCAAGTGAACCCACAGCTGTCTTCACACCAGGTATGTACCCAACTATCCACTACAGATTAGGTTATCACCCCCATCCCAATTCAAAACTGGACCTCAACTGACTGAGGCTGTCCTATTTCAACTCTGCATACAAAATAGGACCTCTTTCTTTACCAGAAATCCTCTCAGTCAAATGCCCCAAATATGGCCTTAGAGCATTACATATTTTTCAAAAAGCCCTTAGTTTCCCCCACCCCAAACTTCCACCTGCTCCTCAAGTCCCCATCATCAGGCCTATTATCCTAGGCCACATATCTATGTTGCAAACCACCCTTCCCCACCTCTACCTATGTCTGTCCAGACAATCTTTTCCTTCTTAAGAATTCTCCTAAAGTCATATACCTACTGCAAATTCTTATCCCAATCCCTACTCCCTTTCTAACCAACTCATTCACACTCCACAACTACCAAAAAACAAAAATATTAAAGAACTTCCATCACCCCAACCTACCTCATATGCCAAACTTTTTACCCAGATTAACATCATCAAACATAACCCAAACTCATTCTGCCTTCTGCTCAAAAAGAAGCTCAGATTTCTCTTTTTCTTTACTTAATATAAACTCCCTGCAACATCAAGACCAGCACTGCATGCTGTTACAAACTGTCCTAGCTCTTCGTCTCTTTTTACATCACCCAACAAAAAGACTGACCTTAGAGAAACCAATACCTTCCACCAAAACTATATCTATTCAACCTCTAACCCTAGCATATTTAGTTACATTTTTCAGGTCATACGAATGGGATTTCAATGCAGACCAGATACAGCTTCTTTTCAAAGTCAACTTTTAAAATGCCTGAAAGCAAGAAGCTTCACCTGTGGACATAGCATCCACTCCTGCCTGCTGACCAAGCCAACTCCAAACTAATACCTGTCCCTCTAACCCAGCACCTCACACACAAACAAACCATAATAACATTCCTCCATTTAGTGTCCAGCTTGGGAATAAGCACTGCAGGCCTAGACACTTTAGAAAATTCCAGCCTCTCTCAAAAACTCTCCAAATGTCACTAGACAATATTGCAACTCAGCATATTGTAGTGCAAGACCAGATTAACTCCTACATAGAAGTTGTATTACAAAACAAAAAACTGACTCTATTAACTATATAAAGAGATAGTCTTTGTCTGTTTCTAAAAACAAAACAAAACAAAACCCTATTGTTTTTGTAAACTAATGCCCTAAATAAACAATCAGGGTCCTAGTGGCAACCAGGAATTCTCCCTTGGCTACCCCTTTCTAGTCATTTTTCTTTTTTATAACTCTTGCTCCTTGTTTTATAAATCTCTTTCAGTAATTTTTAATAAATTGCTTCAGTGTCACTGCCATCTCCTGAGCAAGAACATGTGAAAACGTTGCTCCTCCTTCAGACCTTACAGGAAACCAACACCAGCCCCCAACATCACCCCAATTCAGCTGGAAGCAGCTAGAGATAACTTCGCCCCTATCCATTATATTCCTTTAGAGTCTCGAATGGAGGAAATATATAGCAGTTGCCCCCAAGCCTAGTCATTCCCTGAGAAATCTGATGGTTTCAAGGGCATCCAGGACAAAGACAAGACCAATCAATAAATCATGATAAGACTCTAGGCCTGATCACAAAAAATCTTCTCTAGCCCTCTCCTAAGACTTCTATAAAAAGAAACTGCCCCTAATAGCAAGCGCGCCATTCTGACTTTCTTCACTCCTGGTCACTTGGCATCCCTCTCAGACCATGCAATAAAGGCCTATTTGTTTCCTGGGACCAGTGTCTTTCTTTCTCTCACTCTGTCTCGCCCTCAATTCTTTTTCTAACACATCTGAGTGAGGGTATACCTCTGGGGTGAACTTGGGCTCCATAGCCAGGCATATCTCATTTCCACCTCCTCCTTAGGTCTTAGAAGGTCCTATTTTGAACAACAAGCTTGTTCTCACACATTAAATCTGAAGGCTGGTGATCAGTTCAAACCCTCCCAGTGACACCATTGAAGAAAGACTTAGGATTCTGCTTCAGTAACAACTAGAAGCCACACCCCACCCCCACAAAGAAGGCCTATGGAGCAGTTCTATGCTATAATGTGTGACTGACCAGGAGCTGGAATCATTTCAAAGTCAATGGGTTTGTTTCACTTAGGTTTTAAGCAACTCCCAAGGGCTGGGAACCAGTATGTCACCAGATGTGCCCATTAACTCCCACCCTCTTCTCCCAGCCCTCTCTGGGTCAAATCCTCCCAGGCTTTCGGCTGACTGTCCCGCCCCTACCCAGGGCACAGTGGGCACCCTGGCTCACGGCAATGGAGCAGCCCAGCAAAGACCCCGCACGGAGGGCCCTCCGGATGATCTGGTACAGGTTGGCTGGTGCTTTCTGCAAGTCGTAAAACTCAGAGATGCCTCCTGTGAAATCTTCAAACCCTTCCACCGTGGAGCCTCCAGCAAGGGCCTCATAGGAGCCATTGAGCCTACCAAAAAGAGAGAAAGAACCCAGGACCACGGTGCTTAGCACTGCCAGCCAGGGCCAAATGTGCTGGCCTTGGAGCTCAGGGCACACTGTATGGGGATCAAGTCAAGCCACACTCTCCCTCAGAAAGTGAGGTGCACCCTGCTAGCCCAGGGTTCTTGGGTTTGTGGGATCTGGGAGATGGGGGATACCTTCTATCAAGGTTGAAAGGCATCCACTGAGGACTGCCTTGAGAATAGGGTTGAAAAGGGGCTCAGGAAAAAAACCTAATTCACAAAGCCCAGTGGGGGCCAGGAAGATGAAGAAATAGGAAAGATTCACTGGGGACTTGAAAAGATAGGGTAATGATGGGCCTAGATCAACAATAATTAATTATATTAAAAAATGGATATGAATGATTGTATGAAATACAAAGAAATGAAAGATCGTATAAAGGGCACTGTGTATTAATGAAACACAATGTATATGAATTATTATATGCAAACCAATAAAACCATTTTTTTAAAAGCCCAGTAGTGGTCTTTCCTGGGCTGTGCTAATGAGAAAGAAAGGCTCCTGACAAGAGGGTGGAAATTCCATGCATTTCATATCCAAGCACATAGGGTTTTAATCTTTTTTTTTTTTTTCAAAGATCACAGTGCCCTAAGCACTTGGCTTGGGGTCTGAGAGGGGACCAAGCCCGGGGACAGAGAACAAAGTGACCTCACATGTTCACATGAGACAGAGCTGCGGTATTTTAATTCCTGCTTGGTGTTTATGCTCCTTCCTAGTTACTGGAGGGCATTTCTCTTAGCCCAGGTGCTGGGCATGTCACCAGGAGGGGGGGGACAGGCGAGGCCACTGTGGATTCTCCTTAGCTCCTAGCCACCGCCCCCCCCCTTACTTGGCATAGGCCTTCTCCAGCAGGGCACTCCAGAACTCTCTGCCTTCTTCAGAGTGCAGGAAGAGCAGCTTCCCATCCTTGGTGGGCAGCCTGTCGTCCACCACGACGTCCACCCACTCGCCGTACTGCCAGAACTGGGGGAGGAAAACACAGCAGCTGATCATGGAAATAAGCCAATAGCAAGAGCCAGTCTCAAGGACAACATGGCAGCCAGCAAATCCTGAACAGCTCATGAGTACCAAGCTCCACCAGGGCAGGACCTGTCATACATATTCACAAACGCTGTCGCTGTTTTTGTTATGCACTGTCAGGTTGAGTACAGCTCACAGCAAACCTATGAATAACATATCTGAACCCCAGCCTATCTTGTGACATCTGCATCATCTCTGACATACTGCAGTCCATTGCAGCACTGTGTCAGTCCATCTAGCTAAGGGTTTTCTCTCCTTCACTGACACTCCACACACATTGTTGTTGCGTACCATTGAGTTGGAGCTGACCCTCCAGCAGGTTTCAGAGGCAGTTAACCACACAGGAAGAGATTGCCCATCCTTCTCCCACAGAGCAGCTGGTGGATTCGAACCTCATGCCTTCAGGATTACACTGCAGTTTCTTATCACTAGGCCACCAGAGCTCCCTCCGCATACATCAGAAGATAAAAGCTGCAATGGATTGGTTACTGTGACTTGATCTCAGAAGAGATTCTGCTTCCATAGATCCAGTGGACCCAGGAGTAAAGAAAGTCAAGGAGCAAGAGACTTGAGCAGTGACTCAAGTATGTCTGTTCTGCCCACAAAATGCCCCTCAAAGGAAATGCAAATACATGCATGTAAATACAAAAGCGTTTTATTTTTCAGAATAATTCCACATGTGGAGACTCCTTCCCTCAGTAGGAAGGTGGTAAGGAAAAAAGCCCCGAGTCCCCCACACAATTGTTTTTAAGGCCTTCCCAGGCCCTACTGTTGGGGCGGAGAGATTGGGAGCATGGTTGGTGGGCCGGGGGATCAGTCATGTGGGTCGGCTTTTGATGGGCTGGCTACTTTGCCCGCCTTTACTCTTTTTGTGTCACATAGACACTAGTTAATTCTTTACTTTGCAAGGACAGATAAGACTTTACCCGGCACATTTGTGTTTGCTTTAAGCAAAGAATTTTTATGGCCCGCTTCTGCTTCTGATATTAATGGGATTTATGCTATCCCCTCATGTCAGGTACCCCGTACCTGGAAGTGAAAGATCCCCGCGTAGTTCTTCTGGAAGCTCTGGTCCTTGGGCACCACCCGGTACAGAAGCTCTTCACTCAAGGTCAGTGAGGCAATGGCTGCCAGAAGCCAGCAGTCACCTGTGGAACATGTGGAACACACACTGCTAAGCCAGGCCTATTATGGGTCCCTACTCTGCTTGCCTCATCTGCCTGATTGGTCCCGAGACCTCACCACTTCCCTCCATTGACAGTCCAACAGCCAGTTCTGCTCTTCTCCTATGTGGAGGCAAAGGTGGTGCCTCTCAATTCAGCAGTTGTATTTGTATATGCTTAGGTCTGAAACTCTGCACCTCATCACTCTCACATTGTAGCCACTTACACGTTCCAGACACTCAGCCAGTCGAGTAGAAATTGGAAAGGAAGAACGGACAGGAACAAAACCCAGTCTGTTCAGTGCCTTAGTAGTAGCTCTAGAGAAACAATGATAACCTATTCAATCAGCCCAGAAAGGATAGTTATGTGAGCATGTGTGTGTATGTGTACGTGTATGTGTGTGTGTATATGCCTGCATTTGTCTGTATGTGAGTGTGTGCATATATCTGCATGATTTTCATGTGCAGCTGTGGGCTTGAAGGCTCTTAAGTCAATCAAGACCTGGTGTGTGGGTCTTTGTATTTAAAAGTCAGTTGGGCCCTTGGACCTGTGGCCTCTCAGCCCTCAGGCCTAGTGTTAATTGTGTTTGGGAAGAATATTCTCCTAGGTGGTACAGCACTGGTCTTCCAATTTGCTGTACTGAAGTAACTTGGAGTTGCTGTCAGGTGAGGGTGTTCAATGTGTGTCTGTGTACCAGGTGGGAGTGTTGAGTGTGTGTCTGTGTGTCTGTGTGTCAGTGAGGGTGTTCACCATATGTCTGTATGCCCGGTGGGGGTGTTTAATGTGTGTCTGTGTGTCAGGTGGGGGTATTGAGTGTGTGTCTGTGTGTCAGTGGGGGTGTTGAGTGCGTGTCTCTGTGTTGGTGGAGGCACTGTGTATGTGCTATGTTCCGGGTAGCAGTGTTCAGTGTGTGTGTATGTTATGTCTGTGTGCCAGGTAGGGGTATTGAGTGTATGTCTCCGTGTTGGTGGAGGTACTGGGTATGTGTTGTGTTCTGGGTGGCAGTGTTCTGTGTTTATGTATATGTGTCTGTGTACCAGGTGGGGGTGTTGAATGTGTGTCATGTGTTGGGTGGAGGTACTGTGTATGTGATGTGTTCCGGGTAGCAGTGTTCAATGTGTGGTATGTGTGCCTGTGTGCCAGATGGGGGGCTTGTGGGTGTGTCTGTGTGCAAGTTGTGTGTTGAGTTATATGGGGGCATTTGTGTCTTGTGTGTTCCTCACCCTGGTGACCCTGGATTACAAGGAGTTAGCTCTGTACCTCTGCTCAGAGCTTCCCTTTCACATGAAAGCCTTGCTGTTTCATTGATTACAACTCCTTTGAGATATTTGTTAGCATTGCTTAATGCTAATCATAATTGGAGGTGGAAGAAATCAAAGTCAGAGAGGTTAAAAAGCCTACTGCCTGCTGTTGGTTGCTTTAGTGATTTGCATAAACACAAAGGAGAACCTTTCTGTGAGAAATGTGTCCTTGGACAATATTATCTTCTCTCTTGGGTCAGCTTCACAAATGCCTGCCTCAAATTCCCTTGCTTACTTACTGTGACATCCTATGATGGATTGATAAACCTGAAAATGATGCAAAATTTTCTCACATCTGCTTATATGCTTATGCTACACCATGTTCTGGTGTCTCAGTGCCCTTAGCTATACTTTATTGTATTTCCTCACACTGGCCCAGCAGTGCCTCCCACCAGCTTCACTGGATACATTCCCCTCTGCAAGCCTAGGATCTAGTGAGTACCCAAGCCCACCTAGCATTTCAGTCTTCATCTTTTAACCTTTTCAACAGAAGCCCTTCTACCCTTCTAGACACTCTTGGGACTTTGACTAATTCTTTTTCTTTCAACCAGTGGACAGGGTTGCACACACTTTGCAGGTGTTGAACCCATCAGGGTCTGAGCTCAGGTTGCCTGAGCAAGTAGAGAGTGAACTGTGACTCAGGAGGCTCCACAGAAGGTTCCTCCATCGCTCAGGACTCTCCACCACCATGCCATATCAGAAAGCCCTTATCTTTCTATATAGGGCTCATGGATTCTTTCCAAATTCATTTGTTTCCCTTTTCTCAACTCTCAATCTCTCTTTTCCCTCCCCTCCCTTCCCTTCCTCTCTCCTCCTCTCCCTTCTCTAACCCTCCCCTCCCCTTTTCTCTTACCCTCCCTTCTCTTCTCCCCTCCCATCCCCTCCGGTACCCTCTTCCCTCCCTTCTTCCCCCTCCCCTCTTCCTCTCCCCACTCTCTCCCTTCCCCTCTTCTTCTCTCCCACTCCTCCCTTTCTTTCCCCCTCCACTCTCTCTCCTCCTATTCCCTCCCTTCCCTTTCTTTCTTCTGCCCTCTCCTCCTCTCACTTCCTCTCACCTCCCTTCTCCTCCTTTCTCCTCCTCTCCCCTTCTCTCTCCTCTTCTCCCCTCCTCTCTCCTCTTCTCTCTTCCTCTCCCCTCCTTTCCCCTCCTCTCCCTTCCCCCCACAACCCTCCCTACCTTCTGAAGTCTCTCTGGTCCAAGAAGCTTCACTCTCCTTTTTCACACCAAGCTTCATTTTACTAACTCATTTCACAAACACTTATTTTAAAGGGATCCTAAGCTCAATGTCAAGAAGACAAAAATTCTCACCATCGGACCAATCGGTAGCATCAGGATGGATGGCGAAGAGATTGAGAGTGTTCAGCTTCAGTTTGCTCTGCTCCACGGTCAACACTCTTGGCACCAGTAGCCAGGAAATCAAAAAACGTATTGCGATGGGAAAGTCTGCTGCTAGGGACCTCTCTAAAGTACTCAAGAGCAACGGTGTCTCTCTGGAGACTAAGGTGCACCTGATACAGGCCATGGTTTTTGCAATCACTTGTTATGCATCAGAGAGTTGGACAATGACTAGGGAGGATAGAAGGAGAATTGACGCCTTTGAGCTGTGGTGCTGGAGAAGAGTATTGAATGTGCCATGGACTGCCAAGAAAACAAACAGACTCATCTCGGAGAGGATTAAACCAAGCTACTCCTTGGAGGCAAGGATTCTGGGGCTTCGCCTGACATACTTCGGACATGTTGTAAGGAGAGACAGGTCTTTAGAGAGGGACATCATGCTGGGTAGAGTAGAGGGACAGCGCAGGAGGGGAAGACCCTCTATGAGGTGGATTGATTCAGTGACTGGGGTAATCGGGATGGGTGTGTCAGAGGCAATGAGATTGGCACGGGATAGAGCATGGTTTAGGGATGTTGTACATAGGGTTACTATGAGTCGCAAACGACTCGACGGCACATAACAACAACAACAACAACAACAAGAAGTTAAGGATCTTCAGATGAAATCATTCTGGATTTCATTCTAAGTGGGTCTTTATTATAATGGCAAGTGTCCTTACGCGAGACAGAAGAGAAGACACAGACACACAATGGAGAAGGCCATGTGAAGACAGAGGCAGACGGTGAAGGCCCTGAGCCTCCAAGCATTTCCTGAGCTTCCAGTGGAGGAGGACCCAGCTAAAACCTTGATTTAAGGCTTTGGTACTGTGAGCAAATGAAGTACTGTGGAGTTAAGCCACCAAGTTAGTGAAAATTCACTGAGGTAACTTTAGGAAAGTAATGGAGTAATTGGGCAAGTGAATCAATGAAGCATGTCATGTTCTGCAAATATCCCAAATCCCTTACATAAATTTACACCATCTCAAGAACAGGTTTGAGGCATTGAGCACTAATGATTGAAGACCAGATGAGTTATGGGATGATATCAAGGGTATCATCCATGAAGAAAGCAAAAGATCATTGTAGGGACTGAGGAAGAAGAAAAGATCAAAATGGATGTAAGAAGAGACTTTGAAAATTGCACTAGAACACCAAGAATCAAAAACAAAAGGATGAAATTATAAAGTAAAAGAGTTAGTTGAACAGAAGATTTCAAAGGACAGTGAATGAAGACAAAGCAATGCATTATAATAAAATGCGCAAAGAGCTGGAGTCAGAAAATCAAAAGGAAGAACTCACTCAGCATTTCTCAAGCTGAGAGAGCTGAAGAATAAATTCAAACTTCTAGTTGCAATACTGAAAGATGCTATGGACAAAATTATGAATGATCCAGGAAGCATCAAAAGAAAATAGAAAGAATACACAAAATAGTTGTACCAAAAAGAATTGGCTTACAGAACCATTTTAGGAAGCAGTATGTCATCAAGAAACAATGGTAATAAGGGAAGACGTTTAAGCTGTTCTGAAGGCACTGACAAAAATTGGCCCCAGGAATTGATGGAATACAAACTGATGTATTTCAACAAATAGATGCAGCCCTGGATGTGCCCACCAGGTTGTGCCAAGAAATGTAGAAGACAGTTATCTGGCCAACTGACTGGAAGGGATGCATATTTATTCCCATTCTCCAAGAAAGGTAATCCAACAGAATGTGGAAATTATCAAACAATATCATTAATCTCACATGCAAGGAAAATCATCCAAAACAGCTAAAATGGTACATCAATAGAGAACTGCCAGAAGAAATACAAGCCAGATTTAGAAGAGGCCATGACACTAGCGATATCATATGCTGATATCATATGGATCTTGGCTAAAAGCAGAGATTACCAGATGTATGTCTATTTGTGTTTTATCAATTATGCAAAGACATCCGACTACATAGATCACAACAAATTAGGGCTAAAATTGAGAAGGATGGGAATCTCAGAATACTTGATTTTGCTCATGTGAAACCTATACCTAGACAGATAATCTGTTGTTCAAACAGAGTGAAGGAACACTACATGGTTCAAAATCAAGAAAGGAGTGTGTCAGCGTACATCTTTTCTCCATACCTTTTCAATCTATATAGATAACAGATCATTCGAGAAACTGAGCTTTATGAAGAAGAATGTAGCTTTAGGATAGGAGGGAGACTCATCAACAACTTGTGTTATGCAGATGATACAATCTTGCTCACCAAAAATGAGGATGACTTAAAGTATTTGATGCAGAAGGTCAAGAACAGCTTTCAGGACAGATTGCAC